GTGGGTCGCGACTTCTGTTCGGGTTTGCGACATGGTGTTCTACTTTCGGCTTCAAAGGATTTCTTTTTTGCTACTACACTTCATATAGATTCACATGTGGGGAACACAGGAGAAGACTCAATACACTAACGGACACCCCTACACCTGCCTTCGCTCGAAATGTCACGTTGTTGGTCAACCGGAAAAATCGTCTCCTAACACTTCGGGGTTCGACGCGGCGACGTACAATTTGAGGACTGCTGAGGGCTGGGGCAGCGACATGCCTATGGCGAGGAAACACGTGATGTGCGCAACTGGTTGAAGAGTGAGAAATGTTTACTTGAGGGATAGGTATATCACTGAGAGCCCCGATAATACACCTGAAGCCATGCGTAGAACGGCAGCTAATGTGAAGTTCGATTACACTATGACATACAGGTATCGTCAGCCCTGGCGTAGTGGAATCGTTCATCAAACGAAAAATGTGTGTACTCACGAAGTTATTGGAGTTATAAAAACGCAAGATGTTAGAAGTTCTAACATCCTGCGTGTTTCATAACTCAGTTAGTCACAACGCTTCTTTTAACTTACAAACGACTGGGTGGCTTAGGTGGGACTCGGACATTCCCGTCCAGGCAGCTCATGTTGTTCATAAAGCCACGCCGAACATGGAAGCTCTCACGCACGACTGGTCTCAGGGGAGGTGACGACTCAATATGCGATGCTTCAGCTTTTCCCATGACAGTTTAGGTTATTAGTCGCATATTGGTTTGTGTCGAACTGTCAAACTAGTAGTGGTAGGGAGACCATCGCGAAGGAGATTGACGGCTTGGATATGTTTGGGGCGTGTTCGGGACGTAAGGGTTGTAGTTATGTTCAGAAAAAGAAAAAACCGGAGAAATATGCGTAGTGTGATGCGATGTGGAATTCCACTTGACTGAGAGGTGCCTTCAGGCAGTGTATGCGCGATATAGCGGCGAAGTATCGTTTTTATCTCTCCTTTGAGAATTCCCGCTGTGATAAGTACATCACGGAGAAGTTCTGGCGACCCTTGTGGAAGGTGGGTCGGTGAATCTACTCCCATGTTGTACACAAATGGGCTATACAGTGAGTTCGATTTTGGAAACGAAAAAATGTTGTAACTTCGCTAGTTGGACGATTAGGAATGTGGAACCTCGGAGTTCTGAGAGAAAGAAAAATTTTAATATGTATTATCACAATCGATCACGAACCGTTACAGAGTAGGCCAGAGTATGACTTAGAAGTCATCGGCTGTGAATTTAGAGAATAAAGAGAATGCGAGGATAAAGAGAACGATACTATACTACATACACGATACATACAAGTTTATATGGTCCTAGCATAATAACGATACTATACTACATTGCAATAATGCAGTTGATCACTCGATTAGTGATGTAATAGCCTATACTGAGTGTACTAGGGTATGGTATACTACGATAGATGAGTGAAGTAATGACCTCAATGTAGCTGACTCCATGGCAATCTCTAGGCAAGATATTCTAAGTATCGTTGTCATGGATGGTTTCGTAAGTATCAAGTCCTGTACGCCGAGAAGGACGTCATATATTCGCGATTATGCAATTTATTTGTACTCGAGAATTCACGAGGAGAAAAGTTCAGATAAATTAATACAATCTTTCTCTAGTTGATCCTGGGTAAGGGATTAGGCATGGGTTTAGTTGGTCATAACTCATAGCCAATCTAATCCGGATCAGAAGGCTGTTATCATGATAGTCTTCATCTATGTTGTTGACTCGTCACTTAGGAGTTTCTATCAAGATGATTACTCCTAATGTAGGGGAACGTCCCGGTGGTTCTCGGTGGCCTCAAACGAGCTGATTACGAGGAGATCGCTCCGCCGGGCAGCTTTATTCATGTCGACGATTTCAAGACTACTAAGCATCTCTCTGAGTATCTGCAGTATTTGACAACCAACGATACTGCGTATAATGAATACCATCAGTAAGAAGAAGTGTATTGCATGGTTTTCGGTGAGTATCTCTTCCGTTCTCAAAAAGGTGATTTTAGGTCGTCGTTCTCCACCTTCGCGAGATTCATAATAATTCTCCTCATCGATGCGAATTTATGATGATATTTTTCATATTCATGATACTCTTGTGCAGCACTCGTTCAAACAGGCCCAGAGTAGCTGGGGAAATGATAAAATCCAACATGAGGGAATTCTTGGGAGCCTGGGAGTTCTGGTCGTATTATATACCAGCTTTCAACTGTGTATCACAACAGGAATGTGGTATGACAATCCGTCATCTTATTGACCTGCCGGATATCAAAATGGGGTTTGGGGCCTTTTTGTGACTTCTTCTCAAGTTTGATTTGAATTTAAACTATACCCTACTTTAGTCAGTACAGAGGTATAGTTTTCGGATCAGTGGGTCTAGTAGGAATCGAAAGACATCGTCATTGCAATGAGTAGGAACTACTTATTGCAATGACGATGTTCCTACTAGGAAGCACGAATTCGAAGTTATCATCCATAACAGTATGGTTGATAGAGTAGAGATTCTCAGTTGGCGAGCCTATTACGAGATCTCCCGTAACGCCAGTGTCAAGTACAACCGATGGTGTCATCTTTGCGATAGGATAGCAGTAGATGACGCCCGATCAGGCCAGGA